ACTTGAGCTTGGTTCTTGACCACATCTCATGTGGAAAGGAACTTTCTTTCGACCAGGTAAAATTCTTGTAAAAATAATAAACAAAAACCATCTCAAAATGACACTTCACTACCCTGCTGTTCTGAGTACTGGAGCGATTCAAAAAGTCTGAATGTGTTAATTGTGCATTCTGCGGATGTGCCGTTTTCAGTGAGAGATGTAACTTCTACCTGAACCAAGCGAGACCCTTGCCCAACAATGAAATGTATTCTGTCTATTCACCTCCATCTTCATCATTTAATATCTGCTCCAATCTGCTTCCTTACATACCCTCTTAACTAAAATTCGGTTTTCTTCTGTTCAAGCCATTCAGCAAAGTCAAATTTATTTATATAGCCCATGGCTAGTTTGGAAAGAGTTTAATCAGATTATGTACAGTATTAGTCATTCTCTCTTCAAACAAAAAAATTCCCGCTGGTGGGAGCAATACATGGAAAAGAAAGGTGAGAGAAGACTCTTCAAAAAGTGAAGTGCACATATGGTACTTGTGTTGAGTCACAGGATGCAGATGGGGAAACCCAAGTTACTCTCTGACGTCTCACTGAACACTTGCTCCACCTTCTCCTTTCTGGCCATTTTGCTTTTTACATCATGTCTGACTGAAAGTGTGGTGATAACGACTACCCTCTAACATGTGCAGTAAGCACAGTGAGAGCTGCACACGGAGCTGAGTCTCTCTTAATGTAATCCTTATGATAAATATATGGCTATGCTCTTGGCATCTGACCCGCTATCTCTGCTGACGGGTAACCACTGCAGAAACAACCACACCTGGGCTTAGTTAAGCACATAATTCTGGTAGTTAATACATATTACGCAGTTGAAAATATAGCATGTAAATACATTGTACACAGATTATGTATACCAGAATGTACTGCTAAAAAGGCCATTGCAGTTACACGAAAGAAGAAGAAAGGACATCCAAAGCTACAGCCTTCATCTGAGCTTGCAATCAGCTTATCAGAAAGGAACTTCTCTCCATTTTTACCATCCCAAATAATCATCTGAGGGAGGACGTGAATAGAAGACGTGTATGCATCTGGTTATTGCGTTTATTGATCATTTCTAAGATAAACTCCAGAACGCAGTGTACTACAGCAACGTTAATATTTTCCAGTGCTCTAACTCAAACTATTATTTCTAAAGATCACCATTTTAAACGTCTGAATTGAAACACATTCCAATTATGAGATGCCGTGAGTCTAATCACGTCAATAAAACTGGGTTAGAAATGTTGAAGTTAACAGATAGGATTTGCAGGATCTTGGCCTCGAGCACTCCTGTGATATTCGTGATTTCCAGGGTTATAACTTGGCAGCTTTCTTTCTGAAGAAGAAAAAAGGGCAGATATTTTTAAAACAAATAGAGAAAGACAAAAGAATTCAGAAAATACATAGCAATGGTATACAATGCATGAAGATGTGGAGGAAACATAATTTTTGAAGTTTCAAAAACCTTCTCTTCTTGTACTTAACTGCGATTGACAGATGACTTTCTTAATGTAGTAACCGAATATATTTTGGTCACTGCAGTTTAGGTCTCAAAAGCATTCCAAAGAAAATTTCTTTTTCTCCGTTCTTTTTCTATTTGGTTAAATTAAAATATTTTAAATTAAAATATTTCACTTAATTTTTATTTTTGTTTGGATTCTTTCTAAATTAAACCATACTGCATTTAGTCTTGGCTTAAAACTGAAATGCAGACACAGAAAAGAGCACAGAAAAGGGAGAAAAAACTAAAATATGCTGCAGCACTTCATTACCTACACATAACAATGCATAATAAATCTCATTAACACAAAAAACTATAAACTCAGCAGCAGTGGAAAAAGTAGCGAGCTGTTAAAAAATAATTACATAAAATGCATGCTATTTTGAATTGTAGTTTTAAAATTGCCCTATTCATGTTCTGCTTGCATATAAAACTAGTCAAATAAAAAAGAAAGGACCCCTTTTTTAGTCCTTTTTAGACTAAAAAGGACTTTTTTTAGTCCTTTTTAGACCTCTTTTCAGAATGCGATGGCGCATTTGCTCAGGAACACCAGGAAATTAAATCAATGACAAACTTTTAAAGCATTTGTTGAAGGTCAGTACAAGAAAATTGTAACCAAGACATTACCAAAATAGAGCACGAATGATTTTTTAATGTTAATAGAGAAACATGACCAAAATTTAATCAAGCCCTAAACAGTTAACCGAAAAGGCATGTCTTCAAAGACTTAATCGTAACTTCTTTGTGAAAAGGATGTCACACAATCTTGTCACACAGTCTGTTTTGTCTGCGTAGAAACTGCAATATCTGTAGTCTGAGGGTTACTTTAGCTTGTTTAGCACTTATTGCACATGTATTCATTTGTAACTATGCAATATTGGTAAATACAAATCATTGAACCCCTCTTAACTTTATGCATGTGCTGAAAACTGATTTATATCAACAGCATCCATCTTTCACTGAAATGGTTGGCTCAGATGCCGCATGTGGAAGTCAATAGATTTTTTTAAGCACCTATTCTGCATGTAACACACACTACAGGAAAACTGAGCCAGTAGCTGCCATAGCATGCTGTGAAGACTGGGACGTGTAAAATTAGAGTTGTTTTTTCCTACTTTTCTTTTGGCACATGGAAATTAACTGGCTGTTTTTACCAGCAGGTCACAGAGGATCTTGACGTCTTTGCTGCTTCTTGTTATCAGTTTTAGTTTCCCCTTTGAGTAGCCTCAATAACTGCTCTGCTCTCCTCGTTATTCACCCTGTTTGCCCGGTTCCTTATGAACCTCCAGACCAGGACAGGCTCCAGATCCCTGCGGAGCTCAGCCCGTGACCTCCCGTTGCTATGAAAACTGACCCTTATTCCTAGCTTTGCTTTCTGTCTTTTACTTGATTCTAAATCTTTTTTTTGCAGGGTAAAAGGGGATGCTACTGCAAGGGGTGCTGGGTGGCTGCCAGCAACTGCTGCTCGCAGACCTGCAAAAATGTCAGCAGCCAGACACCTCTCCGGGACTGTGTGGCTGAGTTCTACTTCTGGTGATGGAGACACCAGTGTCTTGCTAGAGTGAGACATCCTGGGGCGCACTGGTGGTGCTAGGTATATTGCAGCCAAAGAAGGGCTTTGGATGGCCAAAACCACTTTCGGAGGTCTCTGTTAGAGATGACATGAGCCTCACCAATGATGCACCACTTCCCAGTCTTCTGCAGAGGATATCCATCCTGCTGTGGGGCCTTGTAGGAATGGGCTGCTACAAGGTGGTGATGAGCCAGACTGAAGAAGGCAAATCAGATCCATGGTAGGCCTTGCTTGTGCCCTTTCCTAGTATAGTCTGATGAGAATGACTATTTCTGGCTCCTTTCTTGAAGGCTTAAAAAAGTAGTAGAGGAAAAATAAGGAAAAACAAGGTAAGGAAGAAGGGACTTGTGAGACCTGGGACTTGGCAGCATGCTGCAAGTGGCCTCTATGAGGACTATAGAGCTTCTGGGGCTTCTGGGAGGCAGTGCTTTGCAGGGAAACTGTTGGACAACACTTCTCTGTGCAATGAGAGACCTCAGTTCAGAGACCAGGAGTCCCCTCTGCCATAAAAAGTAGTGTGTGCTTTCATCTGGCATGGAAGAAGTTTTCTGCTCCCCCTTCCTGCCACAGAAGAAAGCAGCTTGCATGGAGCATAATAGATGGTCAGTGAACAACGGAGATGACGCTGGCATCACCACTACTTGCCAGTGCAGCCATATCCGTAGCTCAGTGGGGCCATAACCACTGGGTCCATCAGCTTCAAAGGGTCCTTGTGTCTTGTGCCTTGTGCAGTCCCTACTGGGCACTACAAAGGTCAGAAGTGCTTTCTCCGTCACCTTCAGTAGATTAAAAGCAGTCACCAAAAGCAGCCACTTGTTCCGGTACTTCAACTCTGTTTAAACTTGCGGCTTTTTAAAGACCAGCTCAGCTTTCTTCCAGGACTTTTCTCTCCCCTGGAACGGGAGTGCAGGCAGCGCGACAGCTGAGCCCATGGCACGAGTCCCAGCGTGACGATGCTCTGCTCCAGACAGGAGGCTCCCAAGAAAAACACTGATTGCAGCAAGACGACCGGGCAACCTTGCACGCAGAGCTGCTGTAGTGCTGCTGTTCGCGAGCCGATTAGAGCCATTTCTGACAGAAAGCTTTGCTGTACCCACAAGCACCTTACAAGTATGTTTAATTAGGGGAGTCAAGGATTTCAACTTTTTTTTCTCCTTCCCCCCCAAAGTGCTGCTCCCATCGCCGAGGCAATCGAGTTGTATCTTGCTACCCTTGAGCCACTTTAACTCAGTCAGTAACGCTGTCGAGCTGTGCCTCGCTAGGACCCTACCGCAACGGGCAGGTCGGAGGGAAACCAGCAGCATCGCTGCTGGGAGCCTACGAGCTCTTCGCCCTGCGCCAGCCCCCCCGGGCTCCCTGAGCATCCCCGCA